TGTGATGTGTATGTATATACATATGCCTACTGGTGTATGTAATGTTGTGATGTGTACGCTCATAAATGCTAAGTGGAAGCAGTATTGGAGCAGGAACCACACAGCAACCTATTATAAAGCAAGAACCGAATAAGACTCTAATTCATTGACATGGTGAAACTTGTGGCAAGTATATGAACAGAGTATAAACAATTTACACAACTCACACAGGGTGTACAGAAGTTACACAGAGTATGCACAACTTACACAGAGTATACTGAGACTTGGTTGCTTCTTGGCAAGAGGTTTCTTGTTCTGCACAAGTCAGTCAAACCAAGCTGACTGGATCACATGCTCTTTATTTGTTGTTATTCTATGTTATTTCTGCTGTAGTTTATGTCATTATTATTTAAGAATTACATGTATTATCATTAAACCATGGGAATGTTTAGTCATTTTGAACATTTTTGTTCTTGAAGCAGCTATTTCATTCAAGGCATTTTTACCAACTATGTTATAACTGTATATTATGTCAGCAACATTGTTTCTGGTGGTAAATGTGACGTGATTAACAGTTTTAATAAACTTTTATTCTTCTGCTTTTTCAGGGAAAGTAAAATTTAAACTGACAGAAGGGTGTGTAAACTGCTCCATGGTAAATATGTGGGTTCATGGACAAACCAAGAAATACTTAATTAAATGTGAAAACTGATACTATGTAATATAACTAGCATATAATTACTCTGCCAAAAATAGAATATAATTTAAATGTCTAAGCTTTAAAGAAGCCCCACTATCGAACTGCCATAATTGTCTTTATTCAGGCTAATAGTATATTTAAAGCAATTAAAAATTAATCAGAACAGGATTAGGTTACTGGTAAGGTTGCAAAATTCTGGAAATTTTCCTGTTAATTCCCATATATTCCCATGGAAAGTTTCCAATTTGTAGTATTTCCAAAATTCCCCAGTTTATCTTCCCATGGAATGGAAATATTCTGCAAAGTTTCTGGAAATTTTCCATCCCTTTGCAACCCTAGTTACTGGGGAGATTTTCACGGATTTCAAATTTATTTGTGTGTGTGTGTGTTTATTTTGTTGTGTTTGTTGTGTGTGTTTATTTTGTTGTGTTTGTTGTGTGTGTTTATTTAGTTGTGTTTGTTGTGTGTGTTTATTTAGTTGTGTTTGTTGTGTGTGTTTATT